GGAAAGGGATCGATAAGGAGTGGGATCACCCTGTAAAATGTCAGAAAAACAAATAAACAAACATCTGTATTCCTAATTAAGTCCTTAAGTCCACTTATTTAATAAATTACAAATTTAAAAGATTTTGAAAATCTTTTTTTTTTTTAATTGGAATTCAAAAATGTTTATTAAAATTAGGATTTAGATTTTTTTTGCACAGTTATTTTTATGGCACAATTCGTTATTAAATCATAACATCCGTTAAATTTGAAATATTTATATTATTTACTCTTCTTATTTTATTAGTTAAACAATAATTTATTTTGTTAATGCCTAAACAAAAATACGAAATTAAAACTGAATTTGTAAATGAATCTGATCTATTTTAATTTACTGATGTATAATCTTAATTGCACAGTACATTTTTAAAACGCTTTATTTCGATGCGCGTGACTCTTCCGGTTCTCCATAGTTGAGTGTTGTTATGTAACAGTACTCCGGTGGTTTACCGGCGGCGTCTGATGAGGTTTTATTAGCCGTTGCTATGGTAACCACTTGTTTTGCCTAACTCCTGCATAAGGTGCAGGACATTGAAACGTACTCTTCTGCTCTTCTGGTGGTTTTCTGCTGTACCAAAGAAGGTATATATCATAAACGCTAGGCTCCTGTCGTTTGTTAAGTTAACCCGTCGGAAACTGTGATATCAGATTGAAGTTTGAACAGCGGGCAAGTAATTTTGGGGTTAGCATACACTCTGTGTTGTTTCAAATGGAAATTTGCCATGTCGTTTTACTCTTTTACTGGTATGTTTTGAATTGTGGGGTGGGGGGGGTAACGGAAGCTGTTATTTTAATTTTGACTGTGTTTCTGTTCATTCACTTTTTAATGGCCGGCTGACTATGAAAATCCATCTGCTAATGCAGAGGGGAGGGAGACAGGACAGAAAACAGGCTGTATGCATTTGCATCATTGTTTAGGACACAGTCTCAGGCTGCATTAACACAAGACTTCTCTTAAGAAGCAGAACACTGGTGGTTCAGGCATGATGAGTGTTAGATTACTCAGGGCTGGCCAAGACTCCTTTTCACAGCAGTGCAGTTGTACAGGGTGATATTAAGTGTTTGGTATTCCAGTAGAGGTGATCAGCTGGTGTTCAGTAGACCCAGCAGAGTGTCATGGGCACTTTCCTCTGGTGTTATTTTTAAATTTCTCTGTAACAATCAGCAGCCACAGTTCTTTCCACTCCCTTGTTAATGTTCCTCCTTCCTGCTCATACTCACTACCAGGTGGAGAACGATGTCGTTCCCGGACCACAGCTCCCAGCTGGGTGTGAGACCCGATTTGAAAAACATTGAAGTTATGCTGAATCACTCTGAGGTCTTCAGGGCAGAGTGTAAAGGGCTGATCCAGGAGACTGACAAAGCATGGCGGCGCATGCAAAATGATGATCAAAAGAGACTCGGTAAGCAAAAATGAATATTTCACACAGAATGAAAGACTATGGAGGTGAATTGTAATGTTTCTTCCTTTTTTTTTAAAAAAAATTCTGCTGTCCAGATCAGCGGGTCAGAGATATCCAGTTTCTGATAAAAGAATTGCAGCTAAAGCTGGAGGAGGTCATTCTGGAGACTGATGCTCTTATAACTTTACAGAGCAGTGTTGTGAAGGCTCTGGAGGGCACCAAAGAGCCTCTGAGAGTCACTGTTCTCTGTCTGGAGGAGAGGTGAGGCAATATTTTTT